TTATTAACTATATTAATTATAACTACTTTATCTATTATAATAAGAATATAGAAAAGGATAACCTAATTCTTTTTCTTATACTATATAGTAATTTTACTTCTTAATATAAGTAATTATAGAAATATCCCTTTCTTATCTAGATTATTCCTTATATTTAGAGTATTATTAATTTTCCTTTTTATTATAATCTTATAGAGCTCTATTATTACTTTACTAACTGCTCTAGTATATTATAGTTAGCTTACTATAGGTTTTATATCTATTATAATCTTTAGTATTACTCTAAATATAAATAGTATAGATACTAATCTATTAGGTCTTATTATATTATTTATAATCTTTATTACTCTTTAGAGTAAATATTTCTTTTTAATCCCTAGGTATTTAGCTTTTATAATTTTATATACTCTTTTTAGAAGTATATAATAATATTTAATCTTTTCTATACTCTAATAAGTCTTTATAGGGATCTAATAATATATTATCTCTATAAATATTATCTCTCCCTTAAACTTAGTTACTATAAAGCTTATACCTATATTAAAGCTTATAATATTAAGGGATTTAAGATAGATATCTAGCTAATATCTCTTTAAGGCTAACTATATATTTATAGCTATAAGATCCTCTAGAAACCTTACTATCTAGTATTTAGTATTTATATTAATTATATATAATATAGGCTTTCTACTAATATATATAATATTAATAATAATTTTATAATTAAAGTTAATATTATTCTTTAAGATAAATTTAAAATATTAAGGAGCTTTCCCTTTAATCTAATAGTAATAGTATATATTATTTATTAGCTCTAGGGTATTTCTATTAGTCTTTATACCTACTTTCTTAAGAAGGTTCTATAACTTATTAATAAAGGGATAATTAAACCTTTAGTATATATACTAGAGCTAGATCTCTATTAGTTTAATAACTTTTTTATTTTACTCTTTAGTAAGATATATATATATCTATATATATAGCTTATTATTAAGAAAGAACTAAAGATAGCTCTATTTTCTAGTTACTAGTATATATATAGCAGGCTTCCTACTATACTTTATAAGCTTATTCTGAATATTATTTAGATATATACTAAGAGTATTTATATCCTTAATATATAATAGAAAAGGAATATCTACTAGGATTATATAAAAAGAGATATTATCTATTAGTATAAATATAATTATTATACTAATTACTTTAAGTAATTCCTCTACTCTAAAGTATACTTAACCCCTAGTTTTATCTTTATTAATATATAGATTAGGTTATATATATAAAAGAGCTTTTATTTAATTAATTCTAACTATTAAGATCTCTACTATTTCTATATTTAGAATAATCCTAAACTAACTAGTTATACTATTAATTAGATATAATATAAAGATCTAATTAAGAGGTATAAATAGAGGTATATTTAGTTTTCCCTTTATATTAGCTTATAGTCTATACTTAAAAGACTAATTAGTAAGAAAATAGGCTATTATATTACTCTTATACTTATCCTCCTTTAATTCCTTATTCTTAGAGAGTTTATATTCTATAAGTTAATTACTCTCTTTCTTTTTAGATAGTTTAATTTAGATAAGGAACTATATAAAGCTATCTCTTTTTTATCCTTAAGCTTCTTATTAATCTTTTTATTATTCTCTTAATCTCTTTTACTCCTTAAATATATAATTTATAGATCTATAATCTATTCTACTATAGATTTAATATCTTCTTATAGCTTAGTTATAAGATCTTTAACCTCTATATCTTAGATATAAATCTCTTCTTTAGAAGCTCTTATTAGATCTATTAAAAGTTCTTTAATCTCTTCTATATTTAGTTTTTTAATCCTTTTAATTAAACTCTTAGAATCTCCTATCTATTATAAAATAGCCTAGGGTAACTATATTCTCTTTAACTTTTATTATATTAAGAAGCTATAAGAAGAGTAAATTAAATATTCTCTATAGGTTTATTAGAACTATCTTTAGCTCTAGAACTCTTTATATAGTTCAGAGGGTATTTATAATTAAATAAATCTTATTCTTATAAACTAGACTAAGTACTTATTAGTATTTTTATAATCTATTTAGAAAGATCTTAAATACTTCTATCTAGGATTTATTTATATTCTTACTCTCTATTTATATTAATCTAAATATTATAAAACTCTAGTCTAAATAATATTAAGCTTTATTAATATTAGAATTAAACTCTTTCTTAAGCTTTCTATATATCTTATTAAATCTTATATTATAGCTTATATAATTAAAGAAGTACTTCTATATATACTTTAATAGGATATATAGAAAGAGTATATATAGCTTTAAATATTATATTTATAAGAGCTTATAGATATCTATAAAAATCCTTACTTTATAATTAAGGATATTATAAGGTTCTTCTATATAGTTATTCTTCTTATTCTATATATTAATAAATATCTTAATATCTATATTATTAATCTCTCTATTAGCTATAGTAGTAAATAGAAGAGTATAATATTACTCTAGGGCTAATAAGCTTATTAGTTAGATTATATATCTTCTCCTATAATCTCTCTATTAGTATTACTAAGGTTATAGGGGATTATTAGCTTCTATAACCCCTATTTTATCCCTTATTTTAAGGTTATTATAGGCTTTAGATTAGTAGGTTTCTTATAAACTAAGAGCTTACTCTATAGATTATTATATCTAATTATTACTCTCTTATAGGTTTCTTTAGTAGTTCTATAGTATAAGGGTAAAATTAGATATCTTACTATTATCTATTTATTTATTCTTAGAGACCCCCTTATTATCTACTTTTAAAAACTCTTTATTATTATAATTACTACTTTCTAAAGTATTATTTAGAAATAATAAAAGTTTTTTCTATATAAAAATTTCTATTAAAATAAGTATAATCTTTAATTTAGCTTTTCTAGGGATTAAGATCCCTCTATATTATAATTATCCCTTAAGTACTCTTAGGATTATCTTATAATAGTTTTTAAAACTCTTTATAATCTAGCTTTTAAAGTTCTTATAGAAGTATTTAAATAGTACTATTTCTCTTTTATTATACTATATATATATTATCTTTATTATCTAAATATTCTTTATATTTTTATTTATAGTATTATAAGAGCTATTAAGCTTATAACTTATATTATAGAAGAACTTTATATCTAGTATTTAGATAATACTATTTATTAGAATTAGAAATCTATAGAGCTTAGTAGCTCTATTAAGTTCTACTCTTATCTTTTATTTATTCCTTTAAGCTTACTTAATAGTAGTTATTATAACTACTTTATTATTACTTATATTATTATTTTTATTAATCTTTTAAAGCTAAGAGTTTTAATTACCTTTTATATATAAATAGTACTCTTAAAGATTATATAATAGATATTATAAGTTCTATTATTAAGTAGTTATAAGGAAAGAGAATATTTTAAAAATAATATATCTCTTATAATTACTTATTAAGATATTCTAAGAAGCTAAAGTTTAGTAAATATAAAAATAGAGGATATTTTAGAAATAATATAACTCTTATAATTACTAATTAAACCTTTAGAAAGAGCTAAAGTACTACCTAGAGGTATTATATCAGATTAATCTAATATTTACCTCTCTTACCAGTCTGTATTATATATTTAAATATAATACTAATTAGTATTAGTTTATCTTAGTAATTTACCTACTTATATAAGTCTAGATCTTATAGCTAGGCTATATCTTTAAGCTTAAGATATATAGGTTTAGTAATATAAGTAATTAGGGATAATCTCTTCTATCTCTAGCTAGCTAATCTATATATTAGTTATAAATATATATAGGATTATATACCTAGTTAGATAACTATAGCAGTGTACACCTTATAACCTAATATTAAACTAATATAATATAAATTAATTTTAATATAGAGATAGAATATTATATAATATACTTAATAGAGTATAAATAGATATTAGATTTAATTAAATCTATATTATTTAAAAAATTTCTCTATAATAAATCTATATTATACTTATAGATATAAGATTAATTAATAATTAAAATAATTAACTTTTCTATTCTTAAAAATATATATTTTAAATTAAATTAAAATAAATTCTAATAATATATTTTAATCTAAATAAACTTTTCTAAAATTAAAGAAGTTTAATTTTCAACTATTAGTCTCGAATGCATGGATTTATCGGTCGTCACGAACGGATCGGGAATAAGCCCTTCTTCGTCATATCCTTCGGCAAGAGAATAGAACGGAGACTTGTATAACAGGGTTGAAACTCCATAGATCGTATGGAGCTCATCTGCGCTGTTTACTGAGACGAGGTTCGGCCCTAGGCGAACAATCGGTCCGTATCTCTCATGCAAAGCGGAATCATCTTCATGACTGAAACCCTTGTACACAGGCCACAATCGCGGTATTGGGGAGAAAGTCCGAAGGATAGGCCCGGGGATTTTATGAAGGCCACGGCTGAAGATGGTGGCAGTGAAGTAGTAGATCACGAGAAGAACCAGGACCACACTCCAATGCTGAACAAGGATGTTGGTGACTCTTGCAGTCCAGGAATATTCTGTGGGTTGTATCATATTCCCTGCACTGAGTACATTCCTCCTCTTGGAGGGTATGGACACAACAAGGCTTGAATTTTGTACTTTGCCCCCTCTTCGTGAAGTTCGAAGGGCGAACTAGCCCTGATTTGCGGTAATAAAGGCCGTCAATCCAATAGGAAGAATTCACCTATCCCACAAATGATACATCTAGCCAATAAGAGTTGTTTTACTGAGTGCTGACGCTAACTGAGCTACACCTTGGTTCATGTGTGTCAAACTACGATGCGAGGTTACCGTCGACGGCGATTAAAACTAGACAAGGCGTCGGTTTCTCATTATGATACTTGCATACACTGGAAGTAACGAAAAGAAACTCCGAATGGGACTAAGACTGTAGGAGGATTGCTCTGACATGCACTTGTCGAGGTGAAACCGATCTACCACAAGTGTTCATCATTGCAACTGACTGCTTATAGAGTCGATGGTCTGTATCAGCTGGCCTGTCTTGTTTAATGCAGTAATCCACATTGTTTCTACCAACGAAGAGTCTTTCCCTATTCCAGTATGAGATTCCGCGCCAACCCTTTCCCTCAAGATACTGGCAAGCTGCGCCCACAACCGCGAGAAGAGCATCGTGACCGTCATCATATACATGGACGACGTAGCTTTGGAGGAGACTGGTGTTTGATCGCCCACCTGCAGCGATGGGAGTTCGATCGAGCCAACTTGCACCCGTGGGAGAATGACCAGCCAATTGCCACCCATTTGAGGGATGAGCGAGTGCTCTAAGCACATTTGCATCATTTGCAAGATGGATCCGTATGTTTCTGTCAGGCTGCTGTGGCAGGACATGATCATGAAGACCGTTGCATCGTCGACATGTGACGAAGGATCAGGCTGTATTGCCATGTGACTTCCAATAACTGAATCGCTTGAGAATGGCATGTCCTGACTGTTTGGAATAACCGATTGTGATTCTTGAAAGCCTGGGGAGGTTGCACACAGGACGGTATCATCCTTGCTTCTTGAGTTGGGAAGGCATCGTAAAATGTCGATGAACTCCGTGGTGACTCGGAACAGCTCATCGAAGATAAAGTGAGCCGACTTTGGCGTGGCGTTCATACCAACATTGGAGGTATGCCTTGTGCTCCGATGCGGGGATGGCAAATTTGCGCCGCATTCGTAAATCCGAGCGCTGAGACTTGCTAACCTTTGGAAGGTAGATACTAAAGGGCTTCCTGAGTTTTCACTTATACCTTGACCTATGCTCCCAATGCGTGGATTGGGTGTGTTGATCAAGGGAAGGGTCTGCTTTATATGGTCATCTGGAAATGCGAGGTCCCAGTCGACGGAGCTGTGGTTGCCCGGTGTGGTTGTGTCTCCCAGAATGTCAAATATACCAGTGGTGAAAATCTCTTGAACACCGGGACCGCCTTGCACAGTACAGCCAGAAGTTGAATATAACCCTACTGTTCCGAGTAAAATGTTATGATCTATAGCTTCAATAGTGGCACGAGTAGGGAGACCAACCTTGCGCTTCAAGAAGACTTATCGGCGTGTCTGCTGGATCCCACCAGCCAATATCACCCATAGTCGCAGCCATCGGTACCGGCGCTATATCTTCGGTAGGCTCGCCCGCCGAGAGTGTGACATCGTGGTCTGCTTGAGGAAGATGGGCCGACTGTCCTCGAGGCCTCATAGACGATCTCGCGGCACGGGGACTATACCGGCAGAGCGTCTTCAATCTAAGGCATCTCCGACATGTAGGTATGCCTTCGTCTTTGACACATCGGAGCTTTTGTGCATGGCACCGATCGCAGGACAAGCGAGTTTTGCTCGAGAGTTGGTGGCGGGGCTTTCCGGCAGAGCCGGAAGCTATTGTTAGAGCTGACTTCGAGGTTAACTCCGATGTCGATGGTGATGCCGAAGCTGCAGACGGAGTGACGACTAGATCCATGACTTGGCTGGCCAGAGAGCAAGCCTTGTGGACGGAAACGTTCAAGAGAGTGAAAGCGGAGGGAGTAACGGTATGTGAAGTGAAGTGAGATTGAGTCACGCTAATGCACGATCGGCGTTTTGGTTCGGCGTTTTGGAGCCACATTCGGCGCTTGCTAATACACTATATACGACCTCTAATCTGCCTTGATGGTTCGCTATAAAAACATGATAAGTGACACCTGTTAACGATATAAGAAGCTAGAAGACTTATTGTAAGCTCGCAGATAATTTTGATCCTCTTCCGCCGATAAACACTATTCATGATGGTTTCTCTCTCTAGTGTATCCGCCTCCAACTCTCTCATCTCCCAGGTGATTCCGGCCGGCCTCGTTGCCGTTTTCTTCGGAGGGACGAGCGGCATTGGAGAAATAACCGTCAAAACTCTGGCAAAGTATGCGCGCAGCCCGCGTATCTACATTGTTGGCCGTTCTCAAGATGCCGCCGATCGCATCTTGGCAGAGTGCAAAGCAATAAATCCGGCTGGCGAGTTCACCTTTATGAAAGCCGATGTGAGCCTCATCAAAAACGTTGATCAGCTCTCAAATGAGATCAAGGCCAAGGAGAAGTTCTTGAACTTGTTGTTCTTGTCCGCTGGAGTTGCGAATATTGATCGAGCTCGTAGGATCCCCAAGCATCCGAGTTAGCAAAAGCACTTACTGACTACTTCTTGCAGAGACCAGTGAACATCTCCACCTCTTGGCAGCATTGAACTACTACTGCCGGGTGCGCTTTATTCAGAACCTCCTGCCGCTCGTCCAGCAGGCGCCGGGTCTTCGTCGCGTGGTGACGGTGGGAGGCGGTGGGCACGAGGGCAACCTGGACCCAACTGACTTTCAGGCGCTGCGTGTTCCAGTTCCTGATCTCCGCGAATATCTCACAACTCTAGTTACTCTCGGGCTGGAAAATGTGGCGAAGGATGCTCCAGAGGTCAGCATTGTGCACAACTACCCCGGCACTGTGAAGACTCCGCTCTTGGACTCTATGCCGGATGAAGTTCTGAAGACTTTGACCTTTTTGCCCCTGGAAGAATGTGGCGAGAGGCAGGTTTTCATGGCAACCAGTGCCAAGTATCCGCCTGTGAGCGGCCAGAACGCGGGGATACCGTTGGTCGATGGGGTCAACGTGGCGATAGGTACGACTGGAGAGGAGGGTAGGGGGGTGTATTCTGTGGGTGTGGATTGTGAAAGTGCCTCCCCTACTGTACGCGAGAAGCTGGCTGGTTTGAGAGATCGAGGTATGTTGGACGAAGTTTGGCGTCATACTCAAGGGGAATTTAAACGGATTATGGAAGACGGTAGCCAGGCTTAGACTCTGAGCAGATGTTAATTACTACCACCCTCGATTTATGTACAGACTACTTAGATCTGCTCGAATTTTGGGCTGCCCATCACCGAGCCTGCTGTTGCACATAGCCAGTAAATCGACTTATAATTTAGAGATTATAAGTCTTCATATCATCAATCAAGCCCATGTTTTTGGCACATGCCTACTGCAAACGTTGCCGAAAAAGGTCAATGCGAAACCTGGAGCCGGATGAATTGTTCAGGGTCAAGGTCAAGGTCAGGGTGAATGTTGCACAGCGATTTTTACCCTCACCAAGGAGTTGTAGACCTACATAAAAGAGCAATCCTTGACTATGTTGCCTGCCCCTCATGCGACACTTTCACAGAGTTAGCTCGCCTCAAATAACCTGACAGTATGGTCCATTGATCACATGATCTTTCCAGTCGTTAAAGATGGCGATCAGGGTCCTAGTTGATGACAACATTGCAGCCGCGGCCAGGGCAGACTTCCGGAAGGATTAGGATTAACCTATGTCTTAGACATAAGACTTAGGTATAGGCAGAAAAAAAAGGCTTTCGGTCTTAGATATCTTGGACCTGTCTCGCATAACCACTGGTACAGAAAGGGTTGATTGTCAACAGCCTAAATCCTCAAAATGTCGGACTATACTATGAATCTTATCGAACTCTAGTGGATATTGCGAGCCTGTGGTTTTGAATCTCTAACATATCTTTGGTAGTAAAAGACACCATCATTTGACAAGCAATCAAGCAGCAGCTGCACCAATCTTTGCTTCGATTATCCACAGTTGATTTAAAAGATGTATCGTGCAGCCCAGCTTGCCGTGTTAACCGATTTTGCCCTCCAAACATGCATGCATTGACCAAGTTGCTTGTTGTGCCGTGCCATGTATCATCAGGTCCCCAACCCCATCGTTTATACTCAACTCTTTTGGAAGGTGTGTTCAGTAGACAATCACATGTCTCCGCAGCCTCTCGGTGCATAGGTAGCAGATCATGAAAAACGCCGCGGCCCGTGCAGCTACTCGGATCGTGTCGAATCAAGGTGCTTCACTCGCAAACAGTTTCGGATCTGATGATGCAGCATGAAAGTCCGGGGTAGCTGGCAGTTTCGAGATTTTACCCGATCCTGATTTGCTAGATACCGAGTCGAGCGCTTGGGAGGAAGTGGTGTCGGAACTGATCGAATCAGCTCGCTTTAAACTTCATGTGTCCGCCGCCCACATTTATCAATCGCAGTCACAGCAGAAACTGGCATAATATCAAAGTATATAACGAGCCCTTCCGCGCGTTTTTAGATGAGTATCTTCAGACAGAAGTTCCAGCCTCAGACCAACCAATCCAAGTTTATATCCTCAAGACCTTCGATAAATTACTTTCAATTTTCAAATTCTAGACCTACAACATGAAGTTCGCCACTCTACCCGTCATCACCCTTGCTCTGGCCCTTGGGGCTTCCGCCCAGACTGCGGATCAAATCTCGTGCTGCAAGAACTACGCCGCTAAGGGCTACACTCTGGAGGTTATGAACTATATGTGTATGCTCAACGAGTATAGCTGCGCTCCGTATATCTAAATGATGGACGCTACATCTTCTTCGATACACTTTACCTTGGTGGCAAGCTATAACGACACAAAGGCAGTGGGGGTGGCCAAGATAATGAGTTATTAAGAGTCAAGTCGGTCCTCAAGACCCTGCCGTGGGAAGGATATCCTCTATTGAGAGAAAGAACTGTCTACAATATGTTCGACACAGTCAGATGGAAAGTTTCAAGAACATGGGTGGGGGATTTTGTTGACGAAACCAGGTGGTCTTCAGCACGGAACTTTGACTACAATAAGCTGCCTACCTGATCCCGAATCTCAGAGTACTCCACTTCTCGCTGCAATAAAAAAATAACTTTTACTCATTTTTTCATGCCCTCTTTTAGTCAATCCCTAAATTTCCAAATCTCTAGTCTGTCGCCCCTTTCAAGGAGACAGGCTAACTAGGGACCTCAGAGCACGTCAAAGAGCTCGAGATTGGCATGAGAGTCCGTGTGTCGAGAGCATTACGAGGAAATCTGGTCCAAGAGTTTGGAAGAGGGTCTTCGTCCAGACTGGCAGTAGATGGGGTGCACGAATTTGCCTGGGTCATAAATGACTTGTACATTCTCCTCAACTTCCACAGTAGTGTGCTTAGAGATGCATAACAGTAGAACTTCTCTGTCATGTTTCTTGACGTTCAAGACAGCTTGACAGTTCGACTTACCCTATACTCCTTACACATTCCAAACGGGGATGGGAATTGTGGCTCTGGACAGATGTCTTTTAGCAGATCAATTGGTCTTCATCTAGGTGATCTTGCCTTGAAGAAAAATGAAGAATCCTTGTCATCATCTTGAATCATTTGAATATTTGTAATGATTCCCCAAGCAACCACAGGAAGCTTCATTGGCGTAACAGGCAAGTAAGACGAGTGCCTTATTTTATAGCTGCATTTCGACCCAACGAATTTACAGCTCCTACACCTCTCCTATCTTCGAGCTGAATTGATTAGGGCTTAATCATAATACACCCTGTCCTCAGCCAACTATATCCATCACAGCAGAATGGCCATATTGTACATGTCAAATATACGTCAGGTGAGAACCGTCGGCCAAAGGAGCATAGTGTAGAAGTACTCGATAGGAAATTATACTGCATTACGTTTCGTATTTATCTCGCAAGAGTAAGGTAAACGGGCTACTGTTCTGAATCCGTGCTGCGAGCCTTTTTGATTTGGCCTTTGTAGTAATCCACAACTGCCTTCTCTTTGAAAATCCCAGTAACACTTGGATGGGCTGAAACGGCCACTGCCCACGCGTAGAAAGCCGGCGCCTTCTCCTTCAATTGTACTTCCAAGTTACTCGGGATCACCCCATCCTTGAAAAGGGCCAACAAGCGAATGGCTAATGGGGCAGTGAGAGCCTAGCGGTTGTTCAATTAGTCTAAGCAAAGTAGAAGAACTTTCTTGCGAAACGGCGAATGTACTCACGTCTGCCAATGTAAGCTTATCACTTCCACCGAAAAAGGGCTTTGCGTCTTTGAGGAGCGGCTCCAGTTCCTTCACTACCCCTTCGATATAGGCTTCAATATGAGTCACGCCCTCTGCGTCCGTCTTGGCCCAAATGAATGTCATGAGATTGGCTACAACTTTGCTCCAGAAGGCATCTACAAAGAAGTTGATCCGTGCTCTTTGGAGAGCGCCGCCTGGGGCGTTTGATGGAAGAACGAGGTGCGACGGGTGAGCGTCTGCCAAAAACTGCCCAATGATGGCAGACTCGGTAATGATCTCGCCATTGTACTTCAATGATGGCACAAGGCCACGAGGATTAATCTCCAGGTAGGATGGGTCGCGCGGCCGGCCAAGGTCAATCTCAACCTCCTCGAACGGGAGGCCAAGCTCGGAAAGAATGATATATAGCCGGTGTGAGACTGATGAAAATGTTAGTGGCGATTTAGGAGCGAGGCTTGGCGTTGCTACACAGACTTGATTCACTTACATGGGCACTGCAAGTATAGGTGTCAGCCACTTTATTATGTAGCTAGCGATGATGATAGTTCCTACTTACAATAGGGCACATATAGAGGGTGATTTTGTTGTCCGTGCTTGAAGCCATTGCGGAGGATAAGACTGGTAGACTTTTCGCTGCAGTTTGGGTTATTCTGGGCATATACTAAGTGGTGAAAGATAAATTAATGACGGTGAAGACGATATTTGCGCCTGAGTTGGGCGAGCAACCGAACTATTATATATGTGTCAGCTTGCTGAGTACTATTAATCTCTATTACAAATAGGATTAGGCGGGAGATTCCTTTCTTTCCTTTCTGAGCTCCGGAAACCTATGATGGTCCCCAGACTAGGGTCGCCCCTATCTATCTGGGATCGCATCTATTTATCTATCTAGGATCGCACCTAGATGGGTGCGACCCTATCCCTACCCCAGACATCCCGCAAGATATAACTCTTTTTGACTAACAAGATATTACCCTTTTTGACTCAAACTGTCAGCCGAGCATAAATACCGGTGACCAAGACTTGGTTCCGTGATGACAACACTATCAGCTCAATGGTGGGTAAACAATGAAGGCAGATCTTTTATTATCTGCCGAGTATCATGATTTATGCACCACTTAATATAAGGCCCCCAACGCGGGTGGCACGTGCAAAGAAACGGGTTTTCTTCGCCTCTTAGCAGAACAATGTTGATCCACATTATGTAGCCAGGCGGAATGGAAACCATTAATGTGTGAGTTGATCCCGGCCCTGGTCTTCCTCTATCTATGCCTAATACTTGCCATTGCTCTTTCAAGTGCATGAACTTGGGGACGGATCAAAGGCTTAAGACAACCTCGGCGAAGATGAAAATACATCTCTTAGTTGATCAAAGATGTGACATTTCCCGCTCAGGATTGTTGCTTGCCAGTTGCCACCCCATTCAAAGCACTCTCATCAATACCCCTGTCTAAACTTGCCCCGCAAGCGGCATTTTGCTCTTCGGAGCAAGCTAAGAATAACCCAATCTGAGCCGAAATCTTCGTTGATACTTCGAAGAAAAAGTATATTCTAACCTCACATTGCTCTGATAAAATACCAGATCGTGAATGTTAAGTTCAGGATTGACTGTGCTGGTTTAAAATGTTATTAGAGGCCGAGCAGTGAACGATATTTTAAGGCTTAGCTAATACATCTGCATGCCCCTGATGGTCTGTAAAAGAGTGGCTGTGTCGCAATGGGAGGAGTAACCACTTTGCCATCAGTCACAAACTCGATATGGAGCTTGCTGGCCTCGTGGTCGGCGTCGCCGGCCTCGCGGGGATCTTCAGCACCTGTGTGGGAGCCATTGAGAGAGTTCAGTCCTATCAGGCATACACCGCTGATTCGGGGGCTCTGGAAACGCGCTTCAAGGTCGCCAAAGTCCGTTTCGAAGCGTGGGGTTCAGCCGTCGGGATAGAACACGGCAGATTGCTAGCCGACCATCATCCTGGATTAGATGACCCAAACAGAATAGAGGTGATAACTGAAACGCTACAAATCATCCTGAAGGCTATATGCGATGAAAGTCAAAAGTCTTCGAAACAAACCCGCTTGTCTAAGACTCAAGACAATGCGACCCTGAGATCAAACGGCACTCATGCCTCGATATCATCCGAATCCAAGAAACGCAGAGTACAATGGGCGCTCTGGGGTAAAGATGGTCGCATGGAAAAGGTTGAATTGTTTGAGAAGCTGGTGGACGGGCTGTACCACCTCGTGTCGCCTTCAGGAGGAGGGGAGATGATAAGCTCGCCGCCTCAGTATGGAGAGGAAAAAGTACCAGGTACGAACCTTCACAGCAATCCACTATGTCATATCTAATCAAGGGAAGAAGTCGACATGCACCAAACTGGACTTGATGATATACGGCGTATTCTTGTTCGCCGGGATAGCCAAATCAAAGGTAAGATATATTGTGGCTCACTTGAGGGAGCATACGGTTGAACTAACACTCGCGAAGCCAAGTTCCTTCGTGAACTCTATGTCTGGCTAGGTCACCACTCTCCAACCGAGTTCTACCAAGAAGCCCTCCAAAAGAAAGCCAATGGTACCTGCGAATGGTTTCTGCATCGGCCTGCATTTTTAAACTGGCTGGATGCCTCCGTCCCTCGAAACCTGCTCTGGGTTCACGCCCCTGCAGGATTTGGGAAAACCGTTCTCAGCGCTCGCATTGTGGACTATGTATCATCCACCGATTTAACGCCCGTCGCGTACTTTTTCTTCTCGTCCGAGAGTGAGGGCTCCAGGGACCCTTTCGTTGCCATTAGGTCCTGGGTCTCTCAGCTCGTTTCATGTGACTCGGGCGCAGGTGCATTTGAAGACGTCCTTGGGATGTGGGAGGCTGACCATGACCCAGTTGCATCGCGTTCTACTGTCCTTGAGATTTTCACACAGCTCCTTTCGGCAATCCCTAATTGCATTCTTGTTGCCGATGGCCTTGATGAATGCCTAGGATCTAATCAAGGAAATACAACGATATCAAGCTTTGTACGTCATGTCATAGATGTCGTAGCTACGACAAATACCAGGGTTCTCCTTGTCAGTCGCGATGAACCTAGTATACGAACTGCCCTTGCGAGCTCGCCGGAGATACTTACCGAATACAAGATCTCATCCACCGACGTTCAGTCTGACACCGCTGCTTACTCCGATGAAATTGTCAAAACTATGCTTCCTAACAAGACCGAGGACGTTCGATCAACCCTTTCTAAAGCAATGGCTGCTCGGTGTGATGGCCAGTTCCTCTGGCTCAAATTACAGGAGAGCTCTCTCAGGAAGGGACTGAACAAAAAGCAATTACAGAATGTCATACAAAATACGCCCCCTGGACTCGAGTATATTTATGACAGAAACTGGCACCGAATCACAAGTCTACAACCAGACGATCAGGGTCGAGCCATTTGCATCCTAAGGTGGTTGGCATTCGCTTTGCGTCTACTTACAGTCCAGGAGATTACCGAGGCAGTGCTTGTCAATGAGACAGAGGAGCTATTACCGGAAGATTTACCTGATGAAATAGACGATGACTATGTTGAAAGTGAAATCATCGGTCTTTGTGGGACTCTCTTGGAAGTCCGGAACTCTTTTGCTAACTCTCTCCCGAGAGACCGAACTCTACACATACCTCACTTTTCCGTGCGAGAGTACCTTGTTTCGAGGCTTCCCTACCCTTCATTCATCGATGAAGATGGGGTCCTTAACGAAAGTTGTGAGAAGGCTCATCACACACTGCTCGCGATGACCTGTATTCAATACATAAGCCTCATCCAAGTCTGGGACAACTCCCAACACCAGCCTGACGACCCGTTACCGTGCGCCGCATTTCGAGATTATGCTGCTACCCGATGGTACGAGCACACAAGGTTGGGCTTGGCAGATTCCCCCGAGATAGTCTCGTTGTGTCTTGAATTGTTTCAAGAAGAAAATCCCGCTTGGGTTGAATGGAGAAACTGGTTCGAATTGAACCGCAAAAGCAGAAAGAGAAATCGGCCTGAGCGTGTCCTTCCAAGCCCCCTCTTTTATGCGGTGAAGCTGGGTTTGGATAAAGTGGCGGCTTGTTTAGCAACAAGCGCTGATGTCAACGGAGCAAGCAGTCGCGGACGAACACCTTTAGGTGCGGCGTGCTCTAAAGGGAACTTGACCATTGCTAAGTTACTTACCAAGCAAGGGGCCAAGGTTGATGCCGCGCCAGGCTCGAACGGGGTGACGCCGCTGCACAAAGCATCAAAACATGGCTTCAACGAGGTTGTGAAGTTTCTCCTTGGAGAGGGGGCTGATATTCAGGCATTTGATGTACATGGATGGACTCCAATGGCATTAGCATCTATGCGTGGTCATCTTGAAGTAACCACGCTCCTTCTAGATAACGGGGCTCCAGTTGAGGTTTGCACATCTGATGGCTCCAGTCCACTAATGTTAGCCTGCGCCAGAGGCCATTCTCATGTTGCGAAACTTTTGTTGTGGAGGGGCGCTTCTATTTCCTCCGAGGACCGATTAGGGAATACCTCTATGCATTTAGCTGCCTGTAATGGCCACCTCGAGGTTGTGAAACTCCTTCTGGAACACGAGGCTGGAGTTATAGCTCCTATTGGTCACGAGGGAGCCTCTGAAGGGTATGAAGAAAGTGTGAATCTTCCTCGGGAAAAACAAGCTGGAATCTTCGACAGACGCAATATCGTTGGTGATGCGCCTTTGACCGTGGCCGCTAGTAACGGCCATCTTGAAGTCGTGCGACTTCTCCTGGAATACGAGGCTACAGTTGAGACGGCTGATAGACATCATAGAAGTCCTTTGCATTTTGCTGCGGTTCTTGGCAATGTTGAGATGGTAAGGCTCCTTCTGGAAAAGGGTGCAGACACCACTGCCCAAGATTTTTCTGGTTGCACCCCATTATTATGTGCAGCACAGAGAGATCACAGCGAAGTGGTTAAGCTTCTCTTAGATAGAGAAGCGTCTGTTGGGTCCACAGATCAAACTGGGGTGACTTCGCTGATGCATGCTTCTGGATTTGGTCATATCGAAACTATGAGAGTTCTTCTGGAAGCAGGAGCTGATATCAAGGCTACGAGTGACAACGGAGGGACTCCACTAATATTTGCATCCGAAGATGGCCATGTCGAAGCGATGAGGGTTCTCCTAGATAGAGGAGCTGGCATCGAGACTGCGGATAATGACGGGTGGACTTCTCTGATGATTACTTCTCAAAACGGCCATACCGAAGCTGTCAAGATGCTCTTGGAACGAGGAGCTAATACTGAAGCCATGGATGCCTTTGGGTGGACTTCATTGATGCTTGCTTCCCAAAATGGCTATATCGAAGTTATCAAGATTCTCCTAGAAAAGGGAGCTAATGTCGAGGCTTCGGATACTGACGGATGGACTCCACTGTTGATCGCTTCCCGGCATGGCCATGCAGAAGCCCTTAAGCTGCTTTTAGATCATGGCTCCGATCCTGCTGTTTCGAATTCCCAACGGGAAACTGCACTCCACCTGGCATCCGAGCATGGCTTCTGCGAGATGATGGACCTCCTTCTTAATACATCTGCTCCTATCTGCAATAAGCAGGATCAATGTGGTCGCACGCCTCTGTTTCTAGCCTCTGTATATGGGCATCATCAAGCAGTGAGGACCTTGTTGTCAGATAGTCGAGTCGATCAAGAAATGAAGGACTGGCGCGGGTCGACCCCCTTATTTACTGCAGTGGCCAATGGCCACTATGAAACAGCACAACTTCTGATCTCCGAGTCTACAAATTTAGAGACTCAGAGTGGCACCAAACGGGATTTGCTGTGGTGGGCGCGACGTAGCGGAAACCCGCAAGTCGTTCAGAAGGTTAAGGAGCATGCACAAAAGATGGACAGGCCTTTAAACGATCAAGAAGGTGAATTTGCCGTGGAAGTTGTTCCGTTCAAGCTGGAAACTGGTTTCTGCGATGCCTGTACTCTCAGTTTTTCAAGTGATGCCTCCTACGAATGTCTCCCAGATCACAATTTCGGGTTGTGCCAGGAGTGCTTTGACGAAGGTATTAGGTGCTCTAACTCGACACACGAAATGAAACTTATCGATGGACCTTCAGATTCTGATGATGAGTCTGACGATGGGTAATATATATGCAATGGGGAATTCGATGTTGGTCAAGCATTAGCCGCATAATAGTCAAGCTCATAATACAAAATCATACCAGCTGTTAAGCCTTTTGACCCACCAAAGTGAAGCTGATTTGCCACTAATTCATTTGTATACTGCGACAACTTGAATATATGGCAGTGCTGGTAGTATTATTACCGACATCAACTGTTCTCCTCTCGTTGTTCAGACATGATCTAAGCTCCTGTTTGCATGTGTCATAGTCGTTGACTAGGCGGCAGTGAAGTGACCCTCGGTGGAGTCTATCAAGAACTTACATTTCATAGGCTGTCTAGAATCGGAGTTATCAAACAACGGGATTGCTGCAATAAGTAATAGTAAATATGTTTCACTCTGTAGGGCGTAAAATTGACATTTGGGTGGGCCCAGCTTTTACTCCGGACTCGGCGTGTCGGACAAAATCTTATTCAAAGCCACGTATTTAAACAGTGGCCAGATGAGTGCCCGTTGATTTATCTAAATCAAATCAAATATTGTGTATCCGACGACTATGACCGCCACTACCATCAAAACTAGGGTCGGCTTCCTGGGGCTGGGGATGATGGGCACCCCGATGGCCAGCCGGCTTGCTGCAAACAACCCGCTCACTGTCTGGAACAGATCACCTCTTCAATCAAAATACGAGCCTCTGAAGCAGCTCGGGGCGAACATTGGATATACGCCAGCTCATGTCATTAATCAGTCCGATGTCACCTTCATGATGTTGTTCGATGGTGCTGCTATCAAATCGATTCTGACCGATGAATTCAAGGAGTCTCTGCGCGGCAAAACGTTGATCAACACCAGCTCTGTTACTGTCGAGTGCTGTCAGTACCTCGACAAATTTGTTCGCGATGCGGGCGGAGAGTTTCTTGAGATGCCAGTGAGCGGCAGCAAAATTCCGGCTGAGCAGGGCAAGCTCGTGGGCTTAATGGCAGGAGACCAAGAGCTCGCCGAGCGTGTCAAGCCGCTCATTGAGCCGCTGACAACCGTCTCCGTGTATTGCGGCCCGATCGGGTCTGGGCTTAAGATGAAATACGCCCTCAATCTTTACTCTACCACGATGAATGCTGGGCTTGCCGAGTCGATGAATCTCGCCCGGGCTCAAGGCTTGAATCTCGAAGCATTTGTCACAGCTCTTGATGCAGGCCCCATGGCTTCAGCGTACTCGAAAATGAAGACAACAAAGATGCTGCACCAGGACTGGTCTCCTCAAGCATCAGCCAGAGATTGCTATAACAGCACACAGCTCATTCGATCTGCTATCGAAGAGGCAAATACTCAGTCTCCTCTAGCACTCCTCTCCGCGTCGTTGTATCGTAAGGCTATAGAATCTGGGTGGGGGGATGAAGACATGATATCTGTTTACAAAGTCCTTCAGCAGCCCGTTGACATGAATGGAGAAGCTGAGGCAAAGTGCAATCCTACCAATGATTCATAGTTTTAGGTCCCATAAACATGGACATCTGGGATGCTTGAGACAGTTGAATTTAGTCCAGCTAAAATTTGCTGATCTCTTTCGGGCTGCAACTTTAGTGTCCACTAAACGTACTCTTATATGTGAATTGCTTTCGATTCTTGAGTAGTTAGCTAAGATTACTAACATTAAAGGTATCCCGCGTCACTACACAATGGCGTGAGGAAGCGCACGGGATGCAATACGGATCTTGGCTTACTAGAGAACGTTTAGGGGTAGTATTAAGTCGTGCTGCTCCCCTGCAAATTGTTGCTTACCTTGGATCCCTTAAAGTTGCTTACCCCAATGCGAAGACAGTCATGCGCTTTGCTTATTACGATCATTCGCAGGAGATGATCTCAACTTTTCAACAGCAACCTGGAACCTCAGAAACACACGCGCCTTTATCAGCACTTCTCAACCAGCAAAAGGAATGAAGATTACATGGCTCTTGGCCACTGGCACTCTGATTGTCTGCATCGCCAGCCTAGTCATGGCTGATGAAATGGAGTGTCAGATTGTCCCACTCACGTACACCCAGGTCATCTCTCCCATCGAGACCTCTTACGCACAGAGCCCAAAGCAAGAGGATTGGGACCAACAATGCGGTCACTCTAAACACGGTACATCCATGCGACAAGTACAACCCGAAAGACAACTACTGGAAGAATGGGAGTGCTGGCAAGTAGGCAACCGAGAGAGCTTACTGGTCCAATCGTGGTCCTGGATCCTTGAACTCGCGCGGGTTCTCGGGATACCTGTGGAAGAACGCGAGGCTCGACATCGACGACTAAGGACTCGCTGTGAGTTTTATGTGCGCTCTTTCGATCCTGGCTACGACTACTGCATGTATCAAGAAGACATTAATCTTGAAAACTACTTGTGGAAGAAGGTGCCAAGTCGCATGGCCAGCATATACATGGCCATCAACTGGTTGGTGTGAATATTGTGCGAGAAGAAGGACGAGGGAAAATAAACCGCAGGTGAAAAGACTTAATATTCGGCCATAGCCTACTTGCGATATATAAATATGAGACTCATTCCTGCCGTACCAAATACGTGTATGTCAGTGGATAACTGCTACGACATAGGTTTTTCTTTCAAGCTTAACCAAATGAAGCACCCGTAACGTCCGCCTTCTTAGCCTTGCCTATCCTGTCTACTCGTCTTTCTGATCTAACATCAGAGCGAGATTAATTATATTCTCTTGAGCGGTAGCAGTACTTGAGTAGAAGTCTCATTTAACCGAATCACGACGCCCTAGGGTCAGGTTCACACATCATGAACACAGATAAGCAGCAACGTATCTCACTCTCATGATAATTTCAGCATTAAGACTACCAACAACTACTACTACAGAGCGGAAGATGATCAATTCTTGCCATTCGCATTTACATACTAGTCAGTTAACCTATGTCAACCCGTCCATTCTTGGTTGTTCCAAGGTGCTTGTTCCAAGGAAGAATCAAGTTTGCCCATTTTTAGCATGCCCATTCTTTGCCTGTCCATTTTTAGCCAACCCTTGCTTGATCAAATCCTTCAATTCCGAGTCCACACGTCCGAAGTAATCTACAAACCACTGGTTAATTGATAAATCTTCTCACTGATGGTAAGGGTAGAGCCTCACCTAGAACTTGGTTCCTGAGCTTCTCAGGGATATCGCCAAGGGTGGGTAGAATTCCCTCAAGGAAGAAGTCCTTACCGCCTTCTTCCTTCTTGATGATATGCCACAAGTCTCTCGCTTGCACAAAGTCTTGGTCCGTCACATTCGTGGAAAAGGCAGTGACGTGCCCTTTGAAATCCTCATGAGTTGGAACTGTGACTCGCTTACTGGTGGATACAGGCCGAAGCTCTGAGAAGACATAGTCGGGGTCACCGCCGTAATTTCCATTCATAGTTCCCGGCCCGTCTCTGACATATGGCGCATAAACCTTATTGGATGGACGATTGGGTGGGAGCTGAAAGTAATTTGGTCCAACCCTGTAGCGATGAGCATCGGGATACGAGAACATGCGAGCCTGGAGGACGGGGTCTGCTGATGGGCCAATGCCAGGAACCATGTTTGATGGGGAGAAGCAAGCTTGTTCAATGTCCTGGAAGTAGTTATTCGGCTACAAGCAATCAGCATTTGTCTATCGACGCGAAAATCTATACAACACGTATAAATGTTACTCACGTTTTTATTCAGCGTGAAGCGAGCAATTTTGCGAAGCGGATACTTGTCGTAGGGCCATGTATAAGTGTCATCAAAAATGTCAATTGGCGCATTCTTGACCTCTTCGAGTTTGATGACTTGGATGTATACCAGCCACGATGGGTAGTCTCCCTTTTCAATGGCGTTGAAAAGATCCTTCACGTGGTAATCAGGCTCACTACCAGCCAATCTCATGGCTCTCTTGGGGTCCATCGTCTTGATACCGCCCTCGGGCTTGAAGTGCCACTTGACATAAACATAGCTTCCATCAGCCTTGTTCAGCGTATAAGTATGTACGCCAAATCCATTGATGTGGCGCAGGGACTCGGGGATGCCACGGGTGCCGAATAGATGCATCAGGGCATGAATTCCCTCTGGATTATTGACGTGAAAATCCCAAAACATGCTATTGTCAGGCACATTAGTTCGTGGATGGCGCTTATGGCTCCTGTTCATAGATGGGAACTTGATGGGATCACGGATGAAAAAGACAGGCAAATCATTGAAGACGAAATCCTGGATACCCTCCTCAGTGTAGATTTTGGTAGCCCAGCCACGAACATCGCGAACGGTATCACTGGAGCCTTTTTCACCACCAACGGTCGACATCCTCGTCAGAAGTTTCGACTTCTTCCCCTTCTCCAGAAACTTGGCGTCTGTCAAGTCAGTAACATCTTCGAGTGCCTCGAATTCGCCAAAGGCACCGGCTGCCTTTGCATGTACGCTCCTACATATCCCGGTCAGTGACAGAATCGGGTATTGCTTGCGATAGGTATGTACCTTTCGGGGATTCTTTCGCGGGCGAAGTGTGCAAGTACCTCCACAGTCTGCACATCGCTCAAAACGACCAGACCGCCATTGGTGTTTCCATACCGCACTTGCTGGACGGAACCGGGGCTGTCGCTTGGTTGGCCTAGGGACAGTCAATACAGTCTGTCGACCAGAGTGAGGGACTGAAACACGACCTACCATTGGCCAAGGTGCTGATCTCGGGATTTTCTTTGGAGGTCTAGACCAATTGTGAGCTTTAGTCAATAGTGACGTACGACACTCACCGACCATTGTACTTTCATTCGTCTTTCAAGAGGATTAATCCTTGGGTGACCTTTCAATTGGTTTGTTTTTCCATCTATACGAAAGTAATACTTGTCATCTTATATGATTCCATTGATAACTTTACAACTGCATGACGACACTTGGAACATATCCGGTGGTGCCGACCTGCTCATATGCCTGAGCTGCTCACATAAGTGGTTGAAAACTTAGTTTTGCGTCACTCTCTTCTAGAATTGGCAAAGGGCCCTTCTCCAGCTTGGAGATCGAGGGAGTAATGCGGGGAGTGAGTTTCCTTCACCGCTCATCAGCTGAATATCGTATCCGACCCCGCAGTGGCGATTGACTTTTGAGACATCTCAACAATTATCATCACGCCATAAGAGGAGGTTATCGAGCCCTCACATACGCAATTCCTTTGATACCACGTGCTTCATTGTACGGAGCAATGTTCGCTAGGATAGAAATACAATCCAACGACCCCTATTGTTCAGATAAATCTTTAGGCGAGAAGGCACTGTCATTAGGTATGATGAAGTTTTCAGACCTAACAGTGAAAATTTGCCACACACCTCCTCGCATTATGACATATCAATCCAGAAGGCCTCACCGCAATATCTTCTTATCAACACCCAATTACGCGTCAATGTTGAAGCTGCATGTTTCAGCTCTTCCAGAAATGGGATGGTATTGCTTCAGGAGCTTGCGGGCGAGTGGTTGGTTGGTTGGTTCAGAAGGTTCCATCTCTATGAGAGGCATAGGCCTATGATATCTAGGATTTCATGTACGAAGGTTGACGCTAACAGGCCCGTTTCCCAGTTTGATAGACGCCATGATCATGCTTCACAGTCGTAATTGGTGAAAGTCGGCATTGCTTTCTGCAGGTCTCAACCCAATTGCGGGCAATGTATTTCGTCACCATTACACCCGAGAAGCCATATATGAATCCCACAAACTTTATTCCCATTGTGTCGGTACGGCTCCCTCCGTTGCGTGCCATCCCAATTCCTGTTTCTCAGCAAAATCATTCAAACGGTGAAGATCAAGTAGCAAGTTTGCAATCATCATGGCTCCAAAGACCAGAACTGCGGCCAAGTCCAGAGGGCCTGTTCCTGCCAACGAGGCCGCTCCCAAGGTGTCAAAGGAACCTCCAACTCCAAAGACCACCAATCGCCCCGATGAGTGGAAGATTGAGCAAGGCCTGTCGGGGGCAGTCCTCCCTGTCCTTGACATGACTGGCCCCGTGACCAAGATGTTGCCTCCTCAGCTGTTTGGGCCGCTCACCAAGGATACCAAAGGCCTCGAGAAGATTGGCGATCGTAATGAACTCTTCAAGAGGGAGCGCAAGGGCTGGAAAGGGTGAGCAGTATATGATCCGGGCGAGATGAGGATGTACTGACTGTAGCTGATATAGATTCGTGGAATGGGAGTCCCATGCCGATAAGAAGGCCATTGCGCACAAAATTCTCACCCTCCAGACGTTCCCTGTAAGTCGATTTTTTCCAAGATAAACTCATCCCCTTCCATCAATCAGCTTTGTCTTCTGTGTGACAATCGGGACATATTCAACTATGCAGGACTGACATGGGCTCACTTTCTACAGCCCAATCCCGAATTCCAGCTTGGACCTATTCCAGGCACGAACCCAGTCCTCCCAGGAACTCACTGGAAGCAGTGGCATCATGCTGTCGGTGGAGAGCTTACCGAGGTCCCAGATGACTCTTGGAAGCTCGTTCTCGAGGAGAAGCACCCAGACATGCTCCATCTGCTCCAGTTCCCGTACAATGGCGAGCCACCTAAGCGTCTGGTAACCGACAAGGAAATCACGCCAAACTCGCTACACTTTGTGCGCAACGTACGTATCTACTCCATTCCACCAGGAGATTTCCATTTATGACTGACATTTAAGAATGCAGCATGGCGGGATCCCAATCATCGACAAGGATGACTACAGCTTCTTTGTGGATGGCGTGGTCAACCCCAAGAGTTTTACGGTCAACGAGCTCCAAGATGAATCCAAATTCCCTCGTATGGAGAAGACCATCACCATCCAGTGCTCCGGAACTCGTCGCGTTGAACAGATTCTAAAGTACGCCGGCCAGGGCGATGAAGTTCCACAAGCCCCCTGGGCAGAAGGGGCAATTGGCACTGCCAAGTACGTCGGCATCAGCCTCAAGAAGGTCATCAAAGCCTGTGGAGGCCTAGCGGATGGCAACAAGCACCTCGAGTTCTATGGCGCAGACACCTATTTCAAGGACGACAAAGCCATGAACTACGTTGTCAGTGTTCCGTGGTCCAAGGTCAGGGCCAATGAAGTGATGCTTGCCTGGGAGATGAACGACAAGGAATTGCCACGAATCCACGGGTATCCCCTGCGCATCGTGGTCTTTGGATATATCGGAGCAAGATCAGTCAAGTGGCTCTATTTGATCAAAGGGATCAAACGCCCCTCGATGGCTCCTGTGCAGTCCGCCGAGTATCGTGAGTGACCACCACTTTCTTTTAGGGACTCTGGAGAAACCAAGGCTAACAATACCGCAGTGTACTTCCCACAGCAGGTTGGCAAGCACAATCTCAAGATGACTGATGGCATTCAAATCCAAGAAATGCCCGTGTCCTCTGCCATCATGTCGCCGTGGTCAAAGCAGGTGGTCATCCACAATGGTAAGATCCACTGCAAGGGCTGGGCCTACTCGGGCGGTGGCCGATGGCCTGAGCGAGTTGAGCTCTCTGCCGACGGCGGGTTTGACTGGTATACTATCCCACTTGAGAATCTTTCCAAGAAGCGCAAGTGGACGTGGAGAACTTGGGAATATGATCTTCCCTGCGACGTGGAAGGTTGGGTTGAGATTGTGGTCCGCTGCTGGGACAACTCCCTCAACACTCAGCCAACCCAAATCAGAGATTCCTGGAATTGGGGATTGCAGTACGTTTCCCTCCCCAACCTGTCAAGCGTTTCTAGTCTGACCATAAATCTTGCAGCGTGACAAGCTCCTGCCACCGCGTCGTGGTTTATTCAGTCAACAAGAGCCGACCACGAACAAAGGCTCGCCTCGAAGAGTTTGAGAAGAAAGGAATTCCTTTCGGGCCTATTACTGTACCTCTGGCATTTCCTTCTCAGACAGAGGCAGATTACGAAAAGTTTTGGGATGAGCATGACCCGCGTGATGCGGAAGACGACTAGATGTGAATTTGGTAGTCATATTTAACATGCTGCTAATCAGCTCTCATGTAATGATGTTTAAATGATATATGAAATTGATGCTAGTTTGTTTTTTAACTTTCAAGTCCCTTTTAAAGCGTATGTAGGACGATTCTGTCTTGAGAATATGCACAACGTACGCATTTCTCTGCAGTAGGGGCTGTAGGAGGACATTCACCCCTTGCACTTTCTCTGAAAATATGAGAAGTATTCGGATAAAAAATTGCACAAGGAAATTTTATCTGTTAAGACTTTTTTCCATCCAGGGCTTCCCTCAGTTCATCCACCAAATCGTAAATGTTAATATTTGGCCCCAACAGAAGCGGCTTCGCACATAAGACATGGGCCTCGCCCAAGTCCACACGTCCTCGCAACATTTTCCCCGTCCATTTCAAAAGGCCCGGCAGATTAGGTCTTTGTTTGGGGCCGCCCTCAAGTTCCCTCTCGAAGGCGTCAGACTCCGGGATACGGTCGTATGTGATAGATACCGGAAGAATGACGAATTCGCTGCCGGTAGATTGAAGACTCCGTAGAACGCCCCTCTTCCCAGGTAAAACCTCTCCAGTGCGGCTTCGCTGCCCTTCAACAAAAAAGAGAAGATTGTCGCCATCCCGCACAAGTTCGGCGAGTTGCTGATCCAGACTGTCGTCCGGTTTGCCAGCCCCTCGCACAACGAACACGGTCCTCAGGCGGCGACAAATCCACCCCACGATCGGTATTTTGGCAAATTCTTCGCTTGCAAGTACTCGTGGGAGCCGAATTCCAATCTCCAGTCGTGTGAAGAATAGGTAAGAGCACACCAACGAATCGAGAAAACTCCGATGGGTTGGCGCAACTATAACCCGCGTTTCAGGATTTATACCTTCCATAGCCGCGGAAAATGAATGCTGGTCAAAGGTGACCGATGTAAATATTCTCTTAAATGTCCCTCGAAGGACAGTGGAAGAGACAGAAACCGGTATTGTTCCATGTTCCTGTTTTCTGGACCAACTTAACGTTCCGATACCGCCAGTGGTATCTGCTCGTTTTCCTGCAAAGACGGCTTTTGTGGCATCTTTTTGCAGAAGGTAAATACGTACACCTTGACATACAATTTTCAGGTATTCGTAAGGGTCATAGTCTGGACCAAGCATGGTGGTTACGGAGTGAAAATTGTATGTATGCTGCGTGAATGGCTCGAAGATTGTATTCGCTTTCAGCTCAGCGGCTTTCGCTCGCTCAATACGCTGAATCTGGCGATTATTGCGCTTAGCGATGGCCAAAGCCTTTGCCAGTGCTTGAGGGAGTTGGTGCTGGACAACATGACTGAGTCTGTATCGCAGATCCATCTTTTGTCCGATGTATGACATCTTGGGCTTTCGGAACATTTGATGAAGCGTGAAGTACTTGACAATCGCAGAACAAGCCAGTGATATTTGCATTCCAGCTTCGACGGTAGAGACGGCATGAACAATCTGTGGTGGCCTTCCAAGTGTTGGGGGGCTGAGAACAGCTTCAATAAGTTGCTGTGCAACTACATCCACAGGAACTACGTCTAGGATGGTGCGAGGGTCACCATTGGCGACTCTGATATTGCCTGATCCTATTCCAGCCACGAGGCCGGCAAGGGCAGATGAACTATCAACCCACCCAGGGAAGGGATATTTCCAACTTGCGGATATGATGCTGGGACGGACAATCGTTAATGGCACAGCAACGCTTTCCAGAAGGAGATGCTCTGTGAGACACTTGGCCAAAGTGTAGAGGTTGGGATGCCCTGTCGATCGCAAGATTTCGTCCGTGCTTCTTGAATCTTTCTGGATTGCTGCATACAGAAATCTGGCGGACTGAAACAGTGGCGGTAGCGTTTCCATAATAGGCTTCTTGGCGTGCGGAGTGACATATGCTGTGAACGTATGAACAAAGTGCCGCAAGTTGGGACAGCATCGGGCCAGTTCCATGACATTGAGAGTGGCTATAATATTGTCGCCAATAATGCTTTCAGAAGCTGATGGCGAGAATGCCACAGAGCCAGCACAATGAATGATATGAGTTGTCTGAGAACAAAGCTGATGGTATATGTCCTCTTCGATCCCGCATCTCTCATGGCGTAAATTAGCCGAGACAACATTGATCTTTGATATCCATGTTTTGGGTAATTTGGAAAAGCAGAGAGAGCTTGCTACTTCATCAAAGAATCTCCTTTCTGCTGTCAGGTTTTCTTTTGGGCGGATGAGCACGATGATCTTGTCCAATTTCTGGCCATTATCACAACGCAGCATTTCCTGAACCACAACTTTTCCAAGGAAACCGGTAGCGCCAGTGATCAGTAAAATGCGCCCCATTACGTCCTATTTTCTTCTATAGTTGAAATAAAGAAAGAAATAAGGAAAATGAAGTTTAGTGTTTACAGTACTGTAGCCATGTGAAGAAATTGGAGCTGTTTCCAGCTAGGGAATTGAGTGCGAATTGGTTGCAAGGCCCCCGGTATTAAAGACGGCAAAATAACCCCCGTCTTACACACTTTTTCCAGATTCGGGTCAGACAAGTCATTTATTGCATCGAAGATTGGATCGTTTGCGTGTGAGCTGGATGTGCTGGCTGATACATAAGCCATGATTCGCCACGCTAATGCCAAGTAATTTCAGCTGAACTGCACCGAAGGAATGGTGCATTATTACCAATGACTACAAATCTAGTAAGACGCCTGTTGATTGGTATAAGCAGCAAACTAGCTCTAGAGAATGAGTGTACAGTACATGCTTCAGCTCCACTTCAGGGGCACACGCCTTTGGAGATGTCCATTTCAAGCTCCTAATGCGAACAGAGACTCGCTAAGCGAGTAGTAACACTGCATCTATACATGTTCTAGGCCTGAAAGACCACCTGGGAACAGGCCGTCCGGGTCTTGAGCTACCTTGATGCGATGCAGTTGGCCAAGTGCGGTTGGTGATAGCACCCTTGGCAGATACTTCCGGCGTAGCATGCCAACACCATGATGGTGTGAGAGCGACCCTCCGTTAAGCAAGATTTCGTCTCGGGCAGCTTCCTCCAAAGAGGAAAACTTCTCGGCGCCACCCTTGATGTCATCACCCACAAATATTGCAAGATAGAAGTAAATGCAGACCCCCGTGAGGTAGACCTGGCTAATCCGAGAGCTGACAAACGGCTGTCCAGGAAGTCCGGAAGCAGAATGCTCTTCGAGAATTCGCTCTTTGACACGCCGACATATCTCTAGTGCGTCGCTCCAAGCACACGAGGTTTCAAAAGACTCGGCAAGAATGCCCAGTGTCATCGCAAAGTCCCGGATGTAAGCAATAGCGAATGTCATGTCGTATCCACGCTCCCCGTTTGCAGAGCCTGCCTTCATTCCCCCATGTTTCCGTGAAAGTCGAGACACGGTGGCCTGCTGCGTATTTACCTACCTAGTGCTCCCTTCGAATAATAATGTGCATGCGACCATTTGCTGTGGATCGAATTTTCGGATGCGAGTAACGTACGCCTTTTCGATGCGGCTCTTTAAAGCTCGTATTCCTGTTGTTGGAGGCTTGAGGGCCATGCTGAATTGGAACTGGGTGTTGTCAACGAGACGGACACTAGCTGGCAGCATATCGCCCGATCTTGATAGATCATTCATGAATTGATAACCCGCTTCCAATGAAGGAAACAAGATGGATCCGTATTTCCTAACCTTCGGAAGAGGGAACACCTTGACTACTGCCGACGTGATTATCCCCATCGTGCCTTCGGAGCCAAATACAAGATGTCTGATATCCATGCGGGTTGATTGTCGAGGCCAGATATCGGTCCCGGCATGTTTAAACAAGCCATCGGGGGTAGCGACCTCGATGTCTAGCACAATGTCCTCAATGTTCCCGTAGCGGTTCTTCTTCATCCCGCTAGCCTTGGTAGCTATCCATCCACCAAGAGTAGAGAACTCGACGCTGTCTGGTTCATGGCCCAATGTCATTCCACATGCGGACAAATTGGCAGCAATATGTCTACCCACAGCTCCGGCTTCTATGCAAGCAAGATTGTTCTCCTTATCAACCCACAGAAGGCGGTTCATTCGTTTGGTGCTGACTGCGGCGATGGTACGTTGCTCCGTTTCTGAGCACGCCAGAGCTTGGCTAACATTTGTTCCTCCTCCGAACGGGAGTATGCAAACACCTTTGTCTTTAGCGCACTGAACAATAGCCAAGGCCTGCTCTGTGTTCTCCGGGTACAGCACGAGGTCGGGAATACGGTGGATGGAACCGCCGTAGTTCACTTGACACATGTCTTCGAGTGAGTGGCCATGACAATGCCGTAGTCTCAGTAATGGATCTTCGGAGATTTGACTTTGGTCCAAATGCCTCCCAAGGGCGAGAAGAAATTCCTCATTGCGAAGCGGCGATGGCAAATCTGTGTGTGCAGGGCGTCGAGGCTGGAGTTGCTCGCGTGGAACCTTCATCTGCATGATGTTTTCCATCCATGGCAGCAGTGCAGGAAACTTCGATCCACTTGTTGAATAGCGAGTGCCGGAAATTTCCAAGTGTCCATCTTTGCTGATCTGATACTGAGTATCCGAGAAGCCCCAGGTGTGAGCATTCTCTTCACCATCATGACGGACTGGTCTGCCTTTGGGGACGACTCTGGTATTCTGCTTCGGCAACTTCTCGCCGGGTTCACCCGCGGCTAGTTCGGCCATAGTTTCCTTTTGTCTTCAGATGTTATGGTTGTAGAGCAATCCCCTCTGAGAATCATCCTACTTTATACTACGACTAGCTCCTATCCGTCCTTCCCCAACCCCGTGTTCAGCCCTGAGCTTGTCAACGAGAACACTCCGATGTAGAGTACATCCCGCAAAGCCCAGGGGACCCCGGTCATCCAGAAGAACACACTTGCATGGAGATGCAGTGGAGACACCCAATAGCGGCTCCGCCGTTTGCCACTCATCGGTTCGCTTAGAGCTCTTCCGTATCACGATAAACAGGTGCCCAAGGGCCGTGCAGGGTAGCTGATCGGAGGCGGTGTGGAATTTTCAATACGCCAGCTGCGAGATTTGGAACTCGACCTCTCGCACCAAAACTACCGCATCTCGTCACACACCGGGACAGCTCACCACCATGGCGATGCTACCCCAGGGCATCTACGCCCGCAAGTTATTCGACATAACCTGGGCAGATGTGTTCCGCGGGGTCTATTACTCCCTGGCGTCGGGGTTCTCCAGCGCCCATGACCAGGAGGAGGCCGTCGAAAAACTCGAAGAGCTCTGGGGCCCAACGCAGACCCTCGTGACGCTGAGCGTGCGATCGGCTTTCGATTTATTTCTGCAAGCATGCGAATTCCCGCCGGGCAGCGAGATTCTCATCTCAGCCGTGACCATCCCCCACATGGTTTCCATCATCCGTCTTCACGGCCTGGTCCCAGTACCGATCGACCTTCAGCCCGATGCGACCGTATCAGTCGAGGACGTACTGCCGTTAATACGGCCTCAAACTACAGCCATCCTCGTTGCCCATCTCTTTGGGCAGCGCCAATCCCTAGCTGCCCTGGGTGAGCTTGCACAGCATCACAATCTGATGCTCATAGAAGACTGTGCCCAGGCGTTCTGCGGGCTGGATTTCAAGGGAAGTCCCGAGGCTTCCGTCTCCATGTTCAGCTTCGGACCAATCAAGACGTGCACTTCCCTCGCAGGTGGTATTGCGACTGTGCGAGTCCCACAGCTCCTCGATGCCATGAGAGGGATCCAATCTGGCTATGCCAACTATCGAGATACCGACTATCTCAAGAAGATACTCAAATATGCCGCATTCAAGGCAGTCGTCTCCAGCCCTCTCTCCTACGGTGGGTTGATATCGATCCTCCAACGAAGAGGCATAAACCATCACCAGTTCATCACCCGAGCAAGTCACAGCCTAGACAGCGGTGATTTCCTGCATCAAATCCGTCTCAGCCCATCGCCGGGCCTTGTTCGCCTACTGAACCACCGAATTTCACACTTCGACGCCTCAGCACTCGAGCGACGTGCTTCGCGGATCGCCGATATCGCTGATATGCTGCCCCCCTCCATGCAGCCCATCGGCTACAATGCGTCTTTGAGGGGCAAGCGTTCGAATCACCACTACTGGCTCTGCCCCATACGTGTGCAAAATCCGGACGTGGTTCTAGGGGATCTATTATGTGCCGGATTTGATGCTGCAGCTGGCAACGCAACCCTCATTGTTGTTCCGGGACAAGAGCATCCCAGTGCGAAGGGTGATGACGACAAAGGCAATGTTTCAGAGGCGCCCAAAGCGAAACGTATGATGGAGGATGTAATTTACTTGCCCATCGACAACCATTTCGATCAACTCTCCACTAAGAGACTGATCAACACACTCGCCAATGTAGAAAGTCGGGTTGAGAAAGCTTGAAATGTCAATCCAACCCTCCAAAGTAGGGGCTTTGACACACGATTGGGGTCTACCATGTACGAGTAGAGCAAGCTGCTCTGATTATCTTCTCACTGTCGATAACTAGCCCAAGATTAGGCCTCGTCTTAGAAGGACACCTTATGAGTAAATGATACATTATGAGTCTCTCTAGTCGTAGTCTAAGCCAAATCTTCATCGACATCTTGATATTGTGACTGGACCGTTCTTGCCCTTTGAGCAGAAACAGCCCTTCTCTCTCTGGTCACTGTCAATGCTCCAGCCAGCACCACTAAACATACTTGTACAGCAGCGAAAACTGGTATGCCCAGGGTCGTTATTTTGTCCAAGGATATCAACGTGGGCGAAATAAGCCGCCCAGCTCCCCATGCCGCGATCGACACACAGAGCAAGCCGAAGGCCTGTGTCAATGTGTCCATCTCATCGAGAATAACTATCCAAATGACTAAAAAGATGCGTAAATTAGAATAACGGGTTCATATCAACACGAGCGCGGTAGATTGAGGTGTACTTACGTGGAAGAATAAGCAAATGCAGTCGAACGGGCACTAGAAGTGGTCAGTCATGATGAACCAACGAGCTTCACGAGTAGGACTTACGGAAAACTCCAGCAAAAGAGCAAAAAGCCATTGCCAGATCTACAAGAAACATTAGTAGCTGTCATAAAAAAAAAAACAAAGAGCCTTTCCAACTTACAGATCAGCCCTGGTAGATAGCGTGCCAAAATCCGGCTCGCTAGAATCGAAACCACAACAACCGCGAATCCCGGTAGAAGTTCTAAGAAGTGATATAGGGGATAATGAGGAGCAGTTGCAGACATTGTCCCACTTATGAACGCTATGGTTGTGATGACTGTGGAATACAGGACCATCAGAGGCACTGAGGAACCCTATGTTAATCGATTAGCGAACTGAAACAAGTGATATGTTCGAAGGTGACTAACTGATGTTTTCAACCACTTTGGTTTCGCTCCGTTGATATATTTAGAAATAGCCGACGAAGAGATAGTAGCCAGTCTTTCTGGTCCATCTAGCCGGGGCGAATCTTGGGGCAAACTCAGATGTGAGGAGTAAACCGTCGTCAAGGCGAGGATCATGATAGAAATTGTGACATCCAGGAGGTGGTTAAGGTAAGCCCGATCATAGAGCTTTATGAATAAGCTGGCAACGCGAAAGACCTCGTTAGTCAGAACGGCCCAAGCTAGGATATGCCATATCGCCTTCTTTTTGGAGAACCATGCCCAGTGGTAGAACACCAAGCCAGATATCGCGATGCCTGTGGCAGCCCCATGCAACAAATGCAACATTAACCATAGAGGCAAAATCAACCACGTTCGGAAATGCCAATGATAGTAAGTCATATACTGAAAGTAATACAACATCTCTATAATAACAGGTCAAGAACTTAGGTTTCCGCCAAGGAATATCAAGTCAGTCGAAACTTACCGCTACTGTATAAAGCCGGTGCTGTGATTTGCATTAAGACGCCTTTGCGAAAACAGACGAATGCAGCTAATTGAGCAAGGCAAATCCCAGAAAAATAAGCGATACGCGAATACGAACCAGTTGAGAAGGACGTGTGAGGACCGAATATTTGTAAGGCAGTCTGCCACTAGTTGTTAGCCACCAAATCATACACTTGACAGGGCCGGCCTACCACCATGATCAGAAGATTCAAAGTCCGGGGTTTGGATGCTAGTTTTGCGGTTTCTGTTATTCTGTAAATGACCCCGGATCCATGGCCATTGGCATCACCATCGGTCTCTAATACAGTCGTTGGTGTTAAGGATGGGCCGAGCGGCGTAAGGCACAAGTGCAGTGACCTTGTGCGATGCATCAAGCCGCTCATCAACGGATCAACACGTAGGACTTTCTCGCGGTGATAGGAGCCCGTCTTGCAGTTGAAAGAGCACAAAAGGGCCCGATCAGTTCCTCCCGCTTGTCCACACACGACGATGAATACTGGAGGTGCTGTGCACCGCACCACAGTCATCGTGAGCGTCGTTGTATCGACGATGGTGAAAATTTGACCAGCGTGTTCTTTGCGAATCACACTCAGGTTTCCACCTTGTTCGTCATCCGCAACTACCTCCTTCAGCCTTCCATGGTTGAATCCCCAGATATAGCGTTCGACAGTTCCAGTATCGACAGCTCCTTGAATTCCAATGACCCGGCTTTTTTCTTTATTTGAACAGTAAGGTACCCCAAAAAACATAAAAGTGAAAGGGAAAAGGATAGAGCACAGAAGAACTATCGCGGCTGACACATAGATCAAAATAGCAAACAAGAACATTGAGTTCTTACCGTATGGAATGATATGCGTTATCCACAACCAGCACGGAAGGCATATCCATGCAATATTAAAGGCCACGAGGAGTGGAGTTCTAAACCGCTTGCCTGAATACTTGAGGGACGTAGAACGCTCAATCTTGTCCCAACTGATGGGCGTGGCGTAGACGTCCTGGATCACCAGGGCATCCGAACTTGTGACATCTAGTACATGGCACGCTGGCCGAAAATCTCTCAGCCTCGAGCCCCAGTAGTCCGATGTGTCTGACCATGGTGAGCCAGCGTGCAGAGGACCCAGGCACATCATCCGCGTAAGGATGTTCCCGTCGTCAATTGCCAGGGCGAGCCGGGCAAAGGCCCTGAACCCAGAATCATTCTGGTCAATCTGCGGTCTTTGGCTGTCGGGAAACAATCCCATGATGGCGTAGGCGACATCTCCGGCACTGAACTGGTCCGTTTTACGACGTGCGAAGCACTCCAAGGCAATTTCAATCAGCTGTCGCGGTGTGAGGATTGCAGATGCTTCGTAGTGATTAACCAACTCCTTGACAGACTCGGCATCCTCCCAGGCCCGTTCGGCAAAGTTTCGTTTCGCTAGCTCTTTAGGCTCCTTGGACTCTCCAAAGACGTAAAGTTTGATGCGATACTCGTTGGGGCAGAGAAGAAGCTCCGGCAACGTCCAGAGACGAGAGCCCCATTGTCGAAGCCATTGCGATGAATGTTCTGTATTGAAGATCTTGGACGATCCGCTGTCGTCACTTCGCAATTCATTCTTCACCTTGTCTTCGGCTGATGGCCCAATCGCAATGATCATAGAATGAGCCGCTCGGACAATATCACAGATCCGATAGACGTCCTCGCTTTTGCTGCTTGACCGGGCGACACCATCGGAGTCACGCACACACTCAAAGTCAAGCCAAAATGCTGGCTTTCCGGCGGCCAAAGCTGCATCCACACCCCAGCGCGCAAGAGTCTCGCGGTCGCTCTTGGCCAATTTGCGATTGGCATCTCGCGTTTCCTCATCTGGATAGTCATATGCATCGATTTCCTCGTCAGTGGCCACTCTGAATTGCATTCGCGTGTACGAAACAAAGATGAACTCGGTGTCTGCTTGATCGCCGTGCTCGTGGATGTAATCTGACACAGAAATGGTACGATAGGGCTTCTCCTCGGAGCCTGTCAAGAAGCAGAGATATCTTGGTCGTAAGGAGAGACCACCTGGCTGAGACCGGGCTTGGAATGTGGGATGACTTTGAACAATAGGGGAATCAGGATTCTCAGACTGGACCTGCTGCCCGCCCAATTGAATGTTGGCTGAGAAAGTGGCCGCCGTGGACAGGTTTTCCTCTGTGGACGATGAATGCGAAAGGGCCGTTGATAATCTATCGTAAAAGAGCTCATACTTCAAACTGTCCGCTTCAAGAGCGTTTTGTCGGGTTTCATTCCAAGAAATCAAAGCTGGTACTCCATTTGTCCAACTCGGTAGCTGCGCGTAGAGTTAGGAAGCAAACGAGCAACTAAGTGGCATCAAATAACCTACCATAAAGCCTGTGAACGGGGCTACAGCAACCAGCCTCAAGAGTACGAGTGAAACCGACCCAGCTGTAAACCGTCGATCTTCGCTTCCTTCCACCAGAACAGGCGATAATATCCAATACCAGGCAGCTTGCAGCGTAGGGACACGGGATACAGGCATTCCCAGGCTCGCCCATGGTTGATCCTCGGAGATTTCTGGTCCGTATCGGATGCTCTGGACAGCTAGAGGAATGAGGCTTCCATTTTCATGATGCGGGTAATGAAGATAGCCACAGTCTTCGTCTGACGCGCTGGGCGCAGGCTGCTGTTGCCGTTGTGTAGACGCCGGCATGGTGTGTTAAGAAGATGCGCAACGGGCGCTTAACTCAACAACTGTGTTTCTTCTATCAACTCGGTGAGAGGGTGTGACAGATATATCAATGTGGCTTGAGAGGAGTTGATAGCCTGCCATTTCTGAGATGACGGGTGAGGGAGGCTGTGTACGAAACGTCAAACATCCGCCCCATGTAACGCCGATCCCTACACTTTTCTATTTAAAGCGACAATTGAAGGCTTAGTAACCAGGCAACAGAGTCTCGCCACACGAGTTTGCTGGGCTTGTCGATCCCAACCATGAATCCGTACGGTTAAGATGGGAATAATATACCCGGAGTGCATATGTGCACAAAGAAGGAGTAATTCGACATTTCTCTCTCCATTATTATTCATTGTTCTTAGTAGCTACAATTTATCATCTGCTTCTTGGATTCTAGTGGCCATTGGATTCAAATGAGGGTAATTTAAGAGGATGCAAAAAGAAAAAACTAATTAACACACAAATGCAAAAGAGAACTCTTCGAGATGAGTGAACCTTATGAAGCTTATCGGATTTGAACCGATGACCTTGTGGACTGGAATCACACGCGCTACCGCTGCGCCAAAGCTCCGAGTATCGTTGAGTTTAGCCGCCTTGTTTCAGTATAGAAAATTGGCACCAGTGGATTCAAATGAGCATGGAAATAGGTGTGTGGGGAAGAGGGCAGACAACCGTGGGCGTTGGATATTGTACAAATTTCGAGGTAATTAGTTGTAAAGTCCTTCTTATACGAATTCATGGGTGCATTTATATAAACATGACAAATAGTACATTCAAGCGATTTGCTCCCAATTATCCCCGAGCGAAACGTTGCAATCCTAAAGACTCAATGAAACGAACATGGGAAGAGTCTCGAAGCGCATGTGATGTATGGAAAATTCCACCGCCAACCGACTTGATTTTAATCCATATACATCCCGGTCCGTTTATGAGTTTATTTCAGCTAGGCTTCATCAGAAATTTGCTTCGTCTTTACCGGCATCTGCTGACCGAACCAGTCGAAATGATTAAGGATAAACCACCACACAACTACAGTACTGGGTGTAGGGTAGCTATACCGGCAAGGATCTTGCCATCATCAGTCAGATGTAAGAAGATATAATAGTTACAATTATCTTTGTAAAACCGGTTATGGCTAAGACCAGACAGGGTAACATGAGCTATAGGGGACTATTCAGGTAGATATCTGTTAATTCAGCCCTTGGCAAATAGAATATTTTTCTAACGAGTGAAAGTAGAACAATGCCTCTACATAACAGGAACTAGCAAATCCTATCTCAACAATCCGGGAGCCTTGGCGCAGCGGTAGCGCGTGTGATTCCAGTCCACAAGGTCATCGGTTCAAATCCGATAGGCTTCATTCTGAGTTCTTTTTACTCTTTTTGCTCCCCTCCCACTTCAATTCAGAGATTTACTCTGGTAGAACCTTGCAAAATGCCACCTTCACTTGGAGCTTTGGCGCAGCGGTAGCGCGGTATGTAATATCTCTCTAATCAGTCTTCGATCCCTCAACTAACAAGGAATTAGTGTGATTCCAGTCCACAAGGTCATCAGTTCAAATCCGATAAGCTTCATGAAACACTTGATTTCAAGTCATTTCATCCTTTTTGCCTCTTCATCTAGAGAGACAGAAGAGGGCCATTAAGGGTAGAATTCTTCTACCAGTTATGGAGCACCCAGCGCTTTCGCCTTGTTCCCCATCTGCCCGGATGAAGCCGGCGATGCGATCTTGATTCTTGGCTAATATAGGTCGCGCGGCTTTATTCACCGGCTGAACGGTACATGGCTGATTAATCCATTGACCATCTCTAGTAGCATCTAGATAATGTAATTCTGGATCCTTCCAGCCGGTCGGATGAATAGGCTGGCGTTATCAATGTCCAATCAGGCGTTTCACACGAATCAAGCATAACAATCCATGGTCAGGTTGATGTACTATCTCGTCGAATTTTGAAGTTCAGAAGCATACGGAGTCCCTGAAGTCCTGAGATATCTTAGCTTCAGCAACTTTTCTTTAAAATTGCACCATTTCATCAGTCCTCATTCTAGGATGCGGAGCAGCGGCACAATGGTGTTTATTTGATATGTAACTGACACAAACGTGTGCCTTAAGTATGAGTAACTTCACGAAGAAGGAAAAGTATGCAATTGTGCCCAGTCCTGCTTATGAACTTTTAATAATTTATGGACACTTTGCTTATCTTTAACTTCCCAAAATGACATTCTTTCACCCGGTCATCCTAGGCGAGTGCTCTCTGGCGGACCAAGCGAGGTCTGCTGATACCCTCCTACATCAACCACCAACCGTTGTACAACAACACCAGGCTCAAGAAGCCAGAGGTCAAGTGTGTGCGAGCCAGCCGACAGTTCTATGGTGCTCGCGGAGGTCCAGCCGCCAGTAATTACGGCATCGGTCCAACCAGAGGGTTCCGAGCCCATCGGCGTGGTCGGTACAGGCTGGACAATGACCGGGGCGCCTCCATCTATGGAAAAGGCATACCGCAACACTCGGCTGGGGTCATGATTCAGCGTCGCGCCCAGGAAGACCAAAAGTCGAGGCTTCTCCACCTCAGTGAAAGTATAGAAGGTGTACGTGAGCTTCGGCGCCGTGTCTGGAGACTGGGAGTCCGCAGTGACAGGCCACGGCTTGACTCCCGACAAGGTTCGTCCATAATGAGGGACTACCACGTAAGACAATCCATTCTTCTCCTCATGTTTGCTGTAATGCTTAGCTTCAATGGCAACAACTCCACCAGATTCGACATAACCACTAAAGCCAGATGGAACAGAGCGCTTATTGATAGGTAGGTTGAAGGTGATGGGCCAACTGCCGGGTGCATTTGAGGGTGTGACTTTCAGGCCAATTTCTGTTGAGCCAGCTGGAGCTGCGTCCCAGTCTACCTTGATGATGCTTCGGACATCGGAAATATTCTCTGTTGTGCTTAGCGTGCCGGCCGCATTCGAAACTGTGACGTACGGTTCGCTGCTGGTAATGCTGTAGGAAAATGACCCGTTGTTACGAGTGAATATGTCAAGATAACGCTGTTCCGAGCTGGGCATGTATGGGTCCATGGGGAGCAGACTTGGCACTGGATCGCCAGGTGAAGAAAAGTTACTTCCTTGAACAGACACACCCATGATGCCAGACTTGGGTACATTGTCCTCCCCATGGTACACAAGTGTAGGAAGAGTGTTCTCCGCGGGTTCCTGCCAGTTGTCGTACCCAATATGAGTTTGTGTCATCATGCGATCCCATTTACCGTCCTTGAGCGAGTGATACCTGCTCGTGATTTCTTGATCTTCAAGGAACAGGTTCTGCACATCAGTAGCCAGCTGGTTAGTGCTTGTACGGCGCTGGCGATGGCGCCAGAGGTTCAGCTCAGCTTTAATGTATAGCTCAACCACGGTCTTGCCTGCAAGGACCGGGTGCAGCACCATTTCAAAGAATGGTGTGCGTGTCGATTGTGGTAGACTATCGTAGGTGCTCTGAGTAAGGTCGAGCAAGTCTGTCCACTCAGCCAAAACCGCCTCGGCTTCGTCGTAGTATGCCACGCTATAGGCAAACGGCTTTCGGCTGAGGAGCTCGTACTTCCGGCGTAAGATTAGCTTGCCATACGTGCTCAAGATTTGTACGGTCCGATCGGCAATTCTTTCCTCAAACTCGGCTGCGGCCCATCGATGGATCCATCTGGTTGTGCTGTCGGGGTCAGCATGATTGGACATGTCGTATGCCATATCTAAGAAATGGGAAGTCGGTATTTCCTACATTTCAATGGATTAGTATCGAATCAACAGTACCGCGCCTATTTACGCATGAGATACTCATGCGAGGCCAGAATGTCTCCCTTACCAAAGGCTTGATGTCTCCGATGTTGGCAATCCATATCTCACGAGCACCCTTTTCATACGCCAGCTGCATTTGTTCCCAGGTCTTCACCAACTGGATAGTATTGATCCATTTGTAATTCCGTGGCGCACCGACGTAGTCAAAATGATAGTAAACACCAGCACCACCTTCTCGATCGGTCTCATTGACCAATGGTGTTCGAAGCAGATTGCCCGCATTATCGTCCGTCCAGAGCAGAGTGACCGTTTCAGGGACTTTCATGCCTGATTGATAATATCGTCCTACTTCCTACCGAGGAATTAGGCCTGTCAGGAAAGAGGAGTGTTTAGGGGGAAGTTGCTAAATATGCACACCTTGTAAAGTACCCATGTTTGAGGGATGTCTGTCAGATTTTTATCCAAGATGTCTTCCAAAAGAGATTGCTGTACGCCGATGATTTCAACTAGCGAGTCAGCAGTCAAAGTGGGCGAAGCAGCATCACCAGAACCTCTCATGCCAAGAGTATACATGGTCTCCCAATTTTTAGAACGCTCCACGCCACCTTCAAAGAACTCGGTTATCTCCTCTTTGTTGTCGATCCAATCCCAATTTCCCTTAACCTCCTGCTGTTGCTCCCTCTCCGACCGCGCCATCGGCTCATGGTGGCTCGTCCCGATGACAACACCGTACTCATCGGCTAATCCGCCGTTCTTTTCATCATCGACATAAAAGGCGCTTCCCCACATAGCTGGCCATATGTAGTTTGCCCGAAGCCGGAGACAGAGCTCAAACACTAACTTGTAGAATTCGCTATTGAATGGTCGGCCGCTTGGTGTGAGCCCAAAGTTCTTCTCCGCCCATCCTGTCAACGCAGGTGCTTCGTCGTTGATAAAGAAACCCCGATACTTGATGGAGGGGGGACCTTGGACTTTGCGAGCATTGCGAGCCCAGATGCCAGTCTTGGTCTTTGGCGGCACAT